GTTACAAGGGGAAATAACTCTGGCTAGCCTGGGTGGTGCTCTTAGGGCATTTGCTATCATCGTGAGACCAATAATCCTCTGCCTGGGGTTTCTGAGAGAGCAATACTGAAATAACAGCTTGGCTGCAGCTGACTTTAAAGCATGCCTAATTATCTCATTCAATAGACACCTGTTACAGATCTTGGATTTTCTAGTCAATAATGAAGCAATTTAACTCCTTCCTCCAATTTAAGGTTTCCAGGTTTCACTGTAGATCTCAGAGCTCTGAAACTAATCATTCCTTGATCAAAACCCCTCCATGCTCACCATCACCAAAACAAGGGTAATAGCCTTTTTCAACCAGAAGAAATAGTAAGTAATATTACCTAGGCTCTGAACATGTTTAAGTACAACAGTCACAGCCTCTCAGGGAAATATGAAATACATGCTGAAGAAAGATCATCACTGGAGGGATGCTATAGGCCTGTAACAGGAGTATAACTGAATAAAAGAAAGGTTAAAGCCCGCTGACAGAAATCTTAGGACCAGCACAAGACACCTTGAAGGTATAAGCATCATCTCTAAAGTACATGCAATCATTTTAAAGCAATAAGAGCACTTCAATATACACTGGGAAAAAGAACCTGTGAATGACTGACTTCTCAGCAAGCATTTACAAACCCCATCCCTCAGCAGATTTCCCTCAAGCTGGTTCACAGCCAGGGAACTTTAAAACCACTGGTAGCGAACAATAGCTTTGCTTCTCCCCCTCATGATTCCCACCAGAACAAAACCAATAAGGAAGGATAGGTCCATATTTTAAGCATGCTGGCCCACCTGCATACCTCGTATTTCTTTTTCATAAATGTTTTATTTTGTGTAATGAGATTTCATAGCACAGAATGAATTAGAAGATACAGCCTGTGCTGGAAAAGAGGGTATCAGAAAGATGGGAAGGCAGGACTAAATTAGCTGCCAGAACTATTTACGGAGGGCACCCAAAACCCTGAATAGATTTACTTGCTCTCAAGATGGAATCAGCTCAGTCTACAGCACTATTTTTTCCCAAGAAGTTCTTGGCATCTCAGAATTGAACTACATTAAAACACTGGGGGAAGGTGCTAATTCTCTTAACATGTAGAAAGCAGCACCTACAAACCGTGCAATTGCAGGCACATAGCGTGCCCAGAGATGAAAAACAAGAGCAGATATATAAATGGTACCACTCATCAGTGAAGCACGTCTCATGTGTCTTCTCAATACCAAGGGCTAAATAGCAAGCTTGTTCCAGTCACAAGCACATCCAGGAGCGACTGACTCAGAAATACAGTCTCCTCTCCAGTTCTCTGAATATATACCCAAGGTACTACCCTCAGCACATGGGTAAAGCCACCCACTCTTTGTCTAACATAAAATGTTAGCTCCGCTGTTCTCTGCTGGCTTTCTGTCTTCTTCATACTGTGATCTCTGATGCTTTACATACCACAGGAAGGTGACTGAGTTATCTCCAACTTAGTGCTGTTTAACTAAGCTCAAGGACTGTAGCAAGTGTCCAAAGGAGCTGGGGAGCAAAAAGAGAACTAACAAGAACCTGGTGTTATTTACAAGAGATCTTGTGATGGCTCCTTCTATGGCACTAGCCTACACAGGTCAGAAGGAAAACAGGCAAAAAGGGAATCATGCTTAAATATTGAATGCATTGAGAAGGATAACCTGAAGTATAATGCTCACTTCAGACAGGAGGCGAAATCACTGCGTATTTTCCACAAAAATTTGCAGACAAGAGTTGAAGCTACTGATCAAGGAAGTGGATTACGAACTCGCCATAAACTCAAGGAACTCACACATATGCCAACCACAAATTCCCACTGGCTTCATATTGAGTAGGCAATGGTGTAAGTAGTTTGTAGGTAATGATATAGGTAGAACAAACAAGCAAACCCCTAGTAACTGTTCATGCGTAATAGCATTATTCAGGAGGCAATCAATCACATCAGAAAAAGTATTAGTCTTGAGTATTGAATCTTCATCCTGCAATCACTGGGAGAATGGAGTTATTTCTAAGGAATGTAGCCATTCCACCAATTTAGGAATATCACAATGAAGTGTTCTTCCAGCTGTGGGCTACTGCCAACATGTAAAATAGCAAGGCTCTGAAGCAACTGAGAAATTATCTAGAACGTGGCACAGCCACTTAAGGGCAGGCAAAGTGCCATTTTATGACAGTGGAATGAGCACAGACCGCCAAGAGACTGCATATGAAAATCAAAGTTGCTCAGTGACAGCAGCATTCCAAGCTAGGAATGTCCAAGCAGCTGTGAGGGCTGATCTAACCCTGCCTATTTTTAATGGGATGTGTCATTGGGCCTAGGTTAATTTCAGAAATAAAAGATACTTCTGCAGATATGTGAAGGGGGTTTCTGTGACTCTGCTGAATTCAGATTAGTATAATGCAATATTAGTGTAATGCTGGAGATTTCCTAGACTTTTTGCATGTTCCACAGGGAGCCCTGTTGGATGCTGTCACACTGCAAAGTTGGGAGGCAGGCGAGCTACCATGCAGCAGCTAATGCACAAGCATGTGCTCTCTCCAACAGTGCTAGAGTTTACTCTTTTCCTGGTAAATCCAGATTTACACAGAAGAGAGTATGAGAATGTCTATGTCCCATCATACTCCTCCTGAGATCAGTGGATATTCTTCCACCATATTCTGTAGAAACCTGACTGGTGGGAAGCTGGCAAGGACCAAGACAAATAAATCCTATCCTGTAAATTTAGATCAAAAGACCACTTCTGTGACGTTCAGATTAGGAGATCTACGGCTGATTCCATTATAATGCATCTGACTAACAGGATTTAGCCTTTGTAGGCAGTCAAGCTCCTTGGGGTTACAACCACTTGATTCCTAATTCAAAAGAAGTAGGTGTGAGTGTTCACATATTGCTTTATCACATTGTCATGGCAACAAAATCCTCATCCCTGCAATGTCATTGTTAGTTTTGTAGTCATGTAGCAGAGGACAGCCAGAGGATGTTTTCTGCCTCCACCCCTCCTCAAAAGGTTGATACCAAAAAAAGTCCTGCTCCAAAACACAGAAATATCCACTACTGTAATACCTATTTCAGGACCACTGTAACGCAATTGTCTTCACACATGCTGACAGATGTTATGCATTCTCTTTAATGCCCTGTATTTTTCCCTCTGGTTTGATAAACCAGTATTACTTCACAAACCTACCACTTTTTAATGGAATATATTTAAAGAAATATAAAATGGAAGACTGGCTGATAGTAAATATGCTACACAGGACCTCAAGATTAATATTTGAAATAATTCCAGATAAAAAAGTATAGTATTTGTAAAACCAGTTTGGTATAAAATGGTGAACATTTGTATGTACTGATGTCTACACACTACAAAACAAATCAAAATCAAATAGAACATAGTTTAGAATGTATCTTTTAATTGATGAATTTCTACAATGCTACATTATTAACAATCTCTAAAACAAATATCTGAATCTGTAACCCAACAAATCTTACAATATTTGCAAATAAATAAGTTATTAAAATTATCATATTGTGTTGCTTTCCTGTCTGTGTAAACTGCTAACGATAACGCATCTCAGAAAAAATGACAACAATGAGCAGTGGCGGTGCATTTACATTATTAAGAATCTTTAAGCACAATTCTATACATGATATGCTTCAATAAATATTTCTGTACTTACACTTTTACAAAGCCATCAACTTAAAGGACATAAGATACATTCAAGACTGAACAAAGCAGCAAGAGAGCTGTGAATAAAAAGACAACATGTTTCAGTTGATACAACATGGCACAGAAAGTATTGTCCATTTTAGAACACAAAAGCCACTATCAGTTGCAGGCCTGAAGTTGACAGCTAGCTCCTATGAGAGGGCTAGAGTTACTTAACTCTAGCCATTTTTGCCACAGTTTGTCTTGCTACAGCCTTAAGTCCATTTGTCAGACTTACTCACTTCTGTGGGCTAAGAGTTCACAAGACAGGTCTTCCAAATCTGGTAAGTCCTAAGGATGAATCACTTACTGACCTCTGTAAAGCCTTCAGTCTTACAGAAGGCACTCAAGAGCCCTGGAATGGCATCAGGGACAAGTGGTACCAGATACTGAACCAAGAGCATCACTCACTGTTCAGGTGTGTCATCGTGAAAGCAAGTGTAAGGAGCTATCCTTGGCAAATATAAATCTACCAGTTTAACAGACTTGCAGAGCTTCATAGGCACCAGCAGTACTTCAACTCACTTGAGTAAGAGAACAGAGAGCTCTGCAGAAACATTAGGTGTTTGTTTCTTAAACCGTCATTGTAACAAACACAGAATGAAACATTTTAATGGGCTACAGTTAGTAATCTATAAAAAGTGTATATTCAGCATGAATTCAAATTGTAAACTGATAATAAATAATACAGTATCTCTGAGCACATTGTAAAATACACATAATGAAATGAAATTTAATTTTCAGAAAAGTTTTAAACCTTTTTGTTCAAAACCACGTTTAACCAATCCTTTATAAACAACTGCAGCCAGTCTGCCTGCCTGAAAATTCTGATTTATGAAGCCCTCCTGCCTAGTTGCAGAACACTCATTTGTATTAACTTCCTTTTTTTTTTTTTTATATTCCTTTAAGGCAGATTAAGTAAGAGCTGAATTCACAAAAACTGTTAATGTAGTGACTACCTTAAATTATAACTTACTATAATGATCGTAATATGTTTTCGAGTTTATTTAGTAATAATATAAATATGCAAATATACACTAAAGTAAGTTGGTGTGAAGACTGCAAGTATCACAGTCAGAGCAGTAGCTAGACCTAGATTTGAAATGCACGTATTTCTTTCTGGATAAGAAAAGGTAGATTCCTTCTGGTCACAGAAAAGGTCTCCATGGACCTCCCTGTAACTAGCCATTGCAACCTGTCCATTAACAGACAGTAATGAGATAGCTGAGTGAGCAGAAAAGACTTCTGTAACACACCCTGTGTGCACAGAGATTCTCCCAGCTGATCTCATGAGCTCCCTAGGCAGAAGGTATAAAAGCACACTGAGCTTCCTCCCTTCTCACATCCTGCGTAGTGAGAGGTGAGAGTAATGATGTTCACAGCTACTGTTCACAATGGCCTCAGTGATCCTCTTGGCAGCTAATGTGGAAGATAAAATTTCTCAGCATCATATTCCTCTGCACTGTCCATGAGGGGAGGCCATGTGGCCTCTAGACATCCTGGGCAATGCTGTGAAACAAGGCGATTCACCCAATCTGTCCCAGGAGAGCCTTTCACCGTGGGAAGAGCATGGAAGTGTTGGGGGGAACCTCAAGAAATCCAACTGCTTCCCAGCTGGGCTTTATAAAAAGGATGGTGTGTATATGTTATTACCAATAGTGGGATATGTCATCTGATGAATAGGAATCTCCTTCCAAAAGCCTATTCCTATGTACTATGATTAAAAAAAGCTTCTGTATTAATCCATTCCAGAAGGCATATCTAGCACAAGTAAGAAAATGCCTTTATATGAACAATTTGTTAAAGACTACCTCAAAACATTAAAGATGCTGATATCTGAATACATTCCTAATCTTTCATAAGCAGGAGGATTTTAATGCTTTAGAAAACTAGAAATATTGCAGAGAGGAAGACTAAAAAAAACAGGTGTCAAAAAGAAGCTGGAAAGAGAGCACCATATGAAAATCATACTTTTTATGTCCATTTAACAAGCTGATTAAACGTTTCATGATGTTATATTGAAGTTTAAGCTAACTATCATAAAACCCTGGCCCATCTGAAGTCAATAGTACAAGGATTTTACCTGCAATTCTGACTATATATGAGAAGATACTAAAAGACAATGTACACACTGGGGCTTCAAAAGGCTTTAATCCAAAGAAGAGGAAGAAAAGAATATGTTGTTTTATTTTGTTTTGAAGTACATGCCATGTAAGGTAATCTACATGGCAGCCTCTATGGTCTATGAAATGCTGAATGCAATACTGTAAATAATTTTTAGCTTTATTTATATTCATTTATCATTTAGCAAGATTTTTCTGTTGCTGTAAATCGCTTTCAAAATTGTATCACTACCTTTTACACTGTTGCTTTATGAAAGGGCAAACCCAAGGTTTCATCAAACAGTGCTGTGTTTTTTTCAGGTTATGGGTGCAAAAGGATACAAAAATAGCTCCTTGATTGCTAAATGTATCTTTAGGCCACAATGAAAAAAAAACCACGTAAGAGTGTTATAGCACAGGTATTCCTTTTATTACAGGAATAATATCTGTGGGATACACTCATCCAGTCAAGGATTTCAAAATCACATCCTTAAAGTATCCAAAGCATTTTCAATTAATGGATAGCTATGGTCTTCAGTGAGCTGCCCTGACAGTTAGAAAAGAGACACAGAACTTAATCTAATCTTAGTTATTTGTACTTCATCACACTATTCTGCTTGCTGAGAAGTATTTCTAAAAACTGCCATGATGTTCCTCATGGAAAAAAAAAGCATGTGAAGTTTATAAAACAGGACTCTAAGAACTCTGGACAAACACGCTGCTAGCATGAACATGTGAAACAACTATTTTGTGATTCAGTGTTGCAGTTGATACTTCAAACTCTTAATCATTTTAGCTGCATATAAAACAGAGAAGTAATAAGTTAAATGATAGCACCTTGCGTGAAAGTTAATCTTAAAAATACAAAGATTATACCTTTTAAAATTGTAAGGAATACAACTATTCTGTCTCAAGTCTAGTACGAACCTGTCATTTAAAAGAAAACTAATTTACACGTAGTGAAGACATGCATAAATACCAGAAATTTAAGGCACAAAATGGAATTTGAAAGCTAGGGATGTACTAAATCCTTGCTTTTTCATCAAGTTACCTCCTACACCAGGAAAAGTTGTATCTACAATTTTCAAAAAAGCAGTATTATCACAGAATCGTTGAAGCTAGAAATGGAAACTGCCTATTCAAGTATGTAGTTCAAACTCTTGCCAAAGGAAGATTACTTTCCACTACTGCATCATATCTGACTTAAAACCTTCCAAGAAACTGTATGCATTGATAAGCTCTACTGTGTCATTCCATAACCCAGCTCGTTGCTCACTGGCAGAATCTTTCTCCTGATATTCACTGGCTATTTACCTTGTTTTGAAATTATATAATCAGTTCTAGTTACACCTTCACACTTAGAAAGCCTCTTCCTTTACATATATTTGTCATATAACAAAAAATTATACATTCTCAAGATTCAATCTTTCTGACTTTTCTCGCTTCAACTAATTTTGTTACTGTTCTCTGACTTTTCAGAAGACTGATTCGATTCCTCATCCTTGACATACCCAAATGTAATACCATGCTCCAGAAATGACCTTGGCAATCACAAGGAGTGTTCTGATTAACAGATGCCTGATGCAGCTCTTCTGCATATATACTCTTCTTTTGAAATTAGTGATGCCAGAAGCAACTTTCTTGCTGACATTATCAAGGCTTCTTACTACATGATTACATTTAAATCTTCTCTCTCTCTCATTAAGTATCCAAGTTTCCTCAAACACATTAGATTTTCTCTGAATCTCTCAGGCTGAGTCCAGTTCATAGAACCTCTCCCACTCAGGTGTCATACAGTGTAATATCATCTGCAACTTTTATTAATATACTGTAGATCCCTCTTGCAGATTATTGAAGGCATTAAATAGAATTAGGTCAACACAGTATAAACAATTAATGGGGAGGGAGCAATTAAAATTGCACAATGGGATGATTTAAAGCACAACTGATCTTTTAAGACACTATTTCAAATATATTTTATCCCACTGTAGCCATTTATAAGAAGTTAAGTATCACACTATAGTTATAGTTTCTAAATGCAGGACTATAATTTTTCTGCATACATAATTAAATGTAGAACAGAAGACATACTGACAATCAGTCTTCCTCTGAAAACAAGTCCCATTCCAGCCACTGATCAGAGAAAGGTAGGCATATCAAATCTGCTCCTCTGCACAAACTTTTAACCAGTTAATATTGTATCTGTTATTCTACATATCTTTACTATTACAAGTGAAAATACAGACAGATCTAAATTTGCACTGACAATCAAGAGTTCGTCTCCTTTGAAAAGTCATTCTGGAGTTCTATAGTGTGATCCTGTAATCAAAAGAATGTTGAACAATATGCTAACAGTACTTATAATTGGAAAGCTATTTAATATAAAGCTTAAATACCATTTAAGCCACTCAGTCTGTGAAAAACTTCATTACCTAATTGATGCTCTGTTTTCCAGAAGACTGACTTTTAGTACAACTTATCAACTCTCCTTCCGTTTTTCATGATGAGTACAGGTCATAACAGAACTTTCAGAACAAAAAGCATAGCAGCCCACCATTCCAACTCTTAAAGCTATTTGTCAACCTATTGAAAATAAGAGAATAATTTGTCTGAAGAAATGAACAATTAAAAAACAAAGTGAAACCAAGGATGAAAATGTAAGTCTGAAGATGTATTAATTGTAAAAATAATACAGTCCATGCTATTTGATGCACAGTTGTTTATTCTTGCTCCATGTTTTAAAACTTGGACTCAGAAAAATCACAGGAAGTTTTGTTTTTTTTACCCTCTTTTTTTTTCCATTAAAAGCACCATAGTTACACGGCTTGATTCAATCGTCCTTTTCCACAATCACTTCTCCATGAAGCACCCTTCTTCTTTGCCGCAGCATGTGGAAGTAGAGTTGTGGAAACACTTGATTAAAGCATAAAAGAAAAAAAAAGTAGATTACAAAAATCACAGCTCAAATAACAGAAAAGTAAAAGTTTGCATAATGATGAACTGGGGAAAAATTATGTCACACTGCAGAATGTACATCCCATATTCCAGGAACTTCCCTCCAACATTTTCTTTGTATAAACAGGACTTAATCACTTTCTGGCAGCCCCTGAAGTCTTCAAATATGTGTTAAGATAAGCATGTTTCCATCAAGACTAAGGAGCATACAGATTTACCCTATTTGTGAAGTCTGAGATGAGGAGCCCCCTCCCTCCAGGCCCTCTATAATCTATTACATTACTGTCCTGCCGATAGATTTGATCCTTATATTTAATGAACAGAAAATTGGATTTATTCCAAAATCATGAAGTTATATACACAATTGCAAAACTGTACATTATGATAGCTTAGGACATCTTTTACTCACATAAATCTCTCCCAATGGCCTTTATGATTTCTTGTGACAAAAAAAATCAGTGTGAGTGCATACTGTGAAAGCCTACGTTCAAGGTCAACTTCTTAAATGAACACCCTTTATGGATGCAGATCACAGACCCTTGAAACTTCAATCTTCCTCCTTCTTAATGCCTCTCCCTAATCTCTCATCTTCTTTCTAGCTTCGCTGTCTAGATTATCTAAAATATTCTATTTTCCTAGTTTGGTCTAGCCCTGTTCATGGTGCTATATTTGAATCAGGTTGCTTTCTCCTTGTCAATAATGCTTAGGTACCAGTGGAAATAACACTGAAAGTGAAAGACATAGTCTCTCTAATTTTAGCTCTGGTTATGGCCAATGGATCTAGCATCCAGAAGTACAAGGACAATCTAATTAAAACAGAAACTGAAATACGTTCAAAGAGGTCTGGGGGGTGCATTTGTGTGTAAACAAAATCTTGGAGAATATTGCTTTAGGTTTTTCCCAAGCATTCCCAAATGGTGATTTTCAGAGGTGACATGTAAATGGATATTAATAGCAATAAAAACAAGGCAAATCTTTGGCACAACTTGCACAACAACTTTTAAGCCGTCACTTCAAAGTGTCAGAGGCACTAGAAATTCTCAGCAACGCAGGTATGGGCATTTCTGTGTGTAAGCAAACAGTTTTTTTACTTTGTCCAAGTCTTAGGAATGTTTTCAGTATTTTCACTGACTTTTTTAAGATAGTTTATGTTCTGAGGAAGATAACAGGACAGAAGATTGTAGTCTACCCAATTAAAGCACAGCAAAGCTTGGAAGAACAGAAAGCAGGCGTTTATAGTAGATGGTGTTCAGCAACTTTAACTACAGGGACTATTTCCAGCATTGATGATAATTGATTATTATGTTGTGAGCATTATTATAGTTAAGTAATACTTACATGGCACATAGGAGAACATGACAACAATAAGGAAGTAATAGTAGTCAAAGGAGACATTGTATTTGTTGGGAAGTCTCAGTGAAAACATTCCTGTTTTCTTCACATAGGGTAAAGCAGCATATATGGTTAGCAGTTCACCTGCAACTCCAGCAGGATACAAAACGATAAAAAAGTTGTATCTGCGTTAAAAACAAACAAAAAACAAAATCCCAATCAAAAAAACAACAACAACAACAACAAAAAAACTCGTGAGAAACACCCCATGAATTTAAAATTTCCCCTAGCTATTATTAGTGGCACAGCAATGTATTACAGTAGATCCTGCACCAAAATCAAGGTGCACATCCTGACTTGGCATAGAATACCAGTTTCAGTTACTCTGGATAGCACCACTTACTTAGGTTCACAGAGAATGCATTCCTCAGCACTTTTATTTAAAAACAGTGAAGTATCAGAACGTTTGTATGTCTAATACTGAAAAGTAAAATGCCCACAAATGTGTAGTCTGCAATAATGTCTTTTTAAAAAAAATTCAGGTCTTGCTGCTGTTGTCACTGACAGGACTCTGACCAGGACCAGACTCCAAATTCAGATGATCTTATATATCATTGTCACAGTACACACACACTGGGTCTACGTATTGTTATCTCTTTGAAGATAATGAAAACATTGAGAAACATTAGAAGCCTGTTTTACCCACTGCCACATGGGAAATCCAAATACTATTTTATTTACCACTAATGGAAATGGAAAAAACCACACCAAAAACCAAAACACGAGTGCCAGAAACTTATCAGATCCATTTTAAAATGGGAAAAAGATACTCAAATGAAAGTTGAAGGTTTTCAGTATAAAGAAAATGTGGTTTGAATGCCGTAGGCCACATAGGTGGTGATAAAATGAAAAACGTAACCAATGGGGTTTATGCTGTCCTTAGGCATAGTGTACCATGGAGATGCAGTTTCTCTTAAGGAACAGCTCTCGAATTCATGCAGAGAACAGCAATGAGAGCTGTCACACAGAGAGAAAAGGACAGTGTGTACTCGATGCAGACAGCAGCAACCAGACATGAAACCCTTCTAGGAGCAAATGGGCCTAAGAGGACTCACAGGTCAGAAAACAGGCAGGGAAGGTATAAAAAGGAACCAGTGGCATGACCTACACACAGTTTGTCTTTATGCAGTGAAAAAAAAACCAACTCAACAACCCCAAAGTGAAAATTCAAACAAAAATTTAGAGCATACTTGTTCCACTAACAACAGATATCTTTCACAATTATAAGCTAAAGATCAGAAATATCCAGCTCCCTTGGAGTACCGACTTTATGCCTAGTTGTGCTGTTTGATTATCTGTAAATCTTGATGGGATATTTTGGACTCTATGAAAAGATAATACACTCTCAAATGTTTTGTATATAGGATACTTCACCACATTTCTCTGCCGGGAGAATGTCAGCTTTCCCTATTGTCCATTATAAGGAAGCAAACAATCTGTCACTCAAAGACACACTGACTTGATGGCAAACAGTGTATCTGTCAATGTAGTACTTTCTGAATGCATTTCTCTTTCTGAAGCCTACATAATAAAGTATTAATGAAACCAGACCTGGTTATTTTTAAGTTTAGCATTTAGTGCTTAAACATAACCAAGCCTATTAGCAAAAAAGACAATGTATTATAGGAATGGACATAAATATCAGACATGTCAAAGAAGTGCATTAGAAGCATTAGAACTGCATTATCTAGAAAATAAAAATAAAGGAAAATAGGCAAACACTCTTTTACATAAGAACCAATTGTGCTGAATGTAGGTTAGAGATTTTTCCTTGTAACAGTGTAAGTCTGTCTGTCTTACAGATATTTTTCAAATAATGACTACAGATACTACTACTCTTCCCATTAAGTCTCCTGATAAACATGCAGTCTCTGTAATACGTGTGATCTAGTGACCAACCATAAGTATGCTTCAACATCAAAGCAGTTTTGATATGGAACACACTTTCTATGTGGGCTGAACTAAATCAGTATTTAGCTTCATTACATGGATACAAGAAAAAAGCTCTGATAAAGCAGAACTTCTCATACAGTAATAATATGCATACATATTGAGTGACAATAACTCCCACATTTTCAAAGATCTGAAATCCACAAAGACTAGCACAGGTACTTAATCTGGAGTACTGTATTCAAAAGCATCTTAAGGAGTCATAATGTAAATTAAAAGATGGCTCCGAAGATAGAATAAAAAAAAAAGAAGTAAATGAAAACAGAGTTCAGACCATGAGACACAGAAAGCAAAGAACAAATCACACCCCGAAATTTCAGCTAAAAAATTAACATTTTAAACCAAGTAACAATGATCCCAAGTACAGAAAACAACCAACTTCACTCTGCGGACACATAACCAAAGCTCAAACATCTGCTCTGCTGTGTATTAGCTCAGCATGCGTGAAACTAACATGCACAGAACCATGAGAAACTGAAGTGCAAGGCATCTCCACCTGGCCCATTTAATGAAGTATGGCAAATGGTTGAGCAGGTTGAATGTGTAGAAGGAATATCGAGTAATCTCTGTCACAGTCCATACGACCAGAAAAAGAATAACGCTCTCCTCATTCTGGATCTGCAGAAGTATAAAGAACCAACACTTTCTTCATCCTTACGCTTCTTTTCTGTGCAAACTGTAACAGACTTCTGTTTAAGATACATGGAACAGAACTAACATCTTGTAAAGAAATAATATTTTGGCATATAGTGATATGCTGAAACCATTGTCATGTACCGTTCTTTATCATATGTATTTACTAATATACAAGCATTTTGCAAACTGAGCAATCTTTATCCATTATGTAAATATCAAAATACATACTTCTGTAATTAAGCATATTCCTCCTCTTTATTTTCTACCTTCATTTTCACTATGCTATCTGTCTCTTTTTATTTGTGGTTGATTTACTTGATTATTTTCGTGCTCCCCAAAACCACAAAAAAAGAAAACAATGCTACAGAAGATATGCTCCTTTCACAGTCAGTTTTTACCCATTCTGTCTTTCACTACTCTGTCTCCTGAAGTTTCTCTTTTTATCTTTCTTCTTCCTCACCAGATAATGCATGTCTCCAGGAAAATTTAGACAAAAGGAACTGCTTAGTATAAACTACTAACTGGAACTTGGCCACAGGAGATGGAATTTTGCAGACTTCAAGGAGCTGTAAGACAGTTAAGGAGCTGGAACACAGATGGACCACTAAATGAAGATTAGTTGGTACATCAGGAGCTTTGGGTAAACTCACTCAACAATTCCATTTAAGATTATGTTCTGAGTCATTAAACTGTCTCATCGGTAGGTAGCACATCCCTCTGCTGTTTCAAAACATTGGTTCTTTTTCACTCTAAGGAATAAATAAACAGAAATCCCCAAATATGAAGAAGGCACATGGGGATCTATTACAAACACTACCTTCTGAGAAGAATTACACGCAAGTAATTTTCTTTTCTTTAAAAGGGGAGGAATTTTGTAATACACTTCCATGCCTGAAGGCTGAAAAGCTCCAGGGATGTCTGTGAAATAAAATAAAGTAACACAAGTTTTGTTAAGATTTCAAAAAAGGGAAATTATTGTTTTAAATAAAATGCAACACGGTGACAAAGATATGTAAAATACATCTCAAAAATGCTGAAAATCTACAACTCTGTCAAAAGTCAAGAAGAACCATAAGTGCTCATCAGCTCATAAAATCGCACCCTCAATGTGTCAGTCAAAGAAGGTACACTTTTAGTGAAAGGATCTTGCCAACATCACAAAAGAGAAGGTGGTATAAAAATACCACCAAACTCTCAAACAGCAACACTGAAGTGCAAAGATGTCCAAACAAAAAAGCAAAGGTAAAGACAGAATTAGGTTGTTCTTAACGTCATGCAATTAGAGGCAAACATTGATAACCCCAACTTGGATTCATGTCACAGTGCTAAATCCAAGCAGAAGAGCTTTAAATAAGTATGCAAAGAATTCCTATCTGTTGCCTTGCAAAGCTCCAGTCAAGTAGAGAGATCTGGGTCTGGCTATTATCACTAACATGCCTCTCAGCACCTAAGGTGACCCTGAACATTCATGCCTGCTAAGCAATAACATCGTGAAATACAGACATACAGTCAGATGTATTTTTTCTTGGACACAGATTGACCTACTGTATTGAAGACAGAGGAAACAAAAGAAATGACTGGATATGCTGCTGAAGATTTAATCCACTGTCGATAATAACAAAATGGTGAAATGCAGTGCTATATTTCAGCATTCACGTAAACACTGAATATAAAAAATTGTTAATCTTTGAGACATTTTCCCTTATGAAAAAAATGAAAATACTTAGCTTACAAAAAAAAAAAAAAAGACATGAAAAGCCTATTCCTTGTTAAGAAAAGCAACAGTAAAGGAAAAGATGAAGTGCAGAAAACGAGTCTTCTCTGAACTGAAACAAAGGGATTTGACAACTGAGGCAGATGCTAAAATATTCCATCAACAGAAAGGCATATGCCATCTGCTGGTGAGACAGTTTAATGGCTCAGCTTTTTAAGTTTAAGGAAATTCAGGAGCACAGCATCAAAATCGATCGCTTAGTTCTTACATGCCTTTCACAGAAAGAAGACTTCATAAACTGAACTGATGTCCTATCTACTAGCTGTAAGCAGTCTGCTTGTTTTATTCTGCTAATGAATCACTAAACTTACAACAATCACCTACAGCCAAGCAAATAAACTATCATAATTTATTTATACAAGACCTTAAGTGTCACTGTGGCATGCCAGACAACCTGATAGATCTTTAATGAAAAAAAAATGCAGTATGCATTCCATCAAATGTTAATATAATCATAACATTAAAATCTTGAGCAGGTTCCTAAAATAAACTGCAAAATCACAACCACATTTATCCAGGAAAATTTAATTTAAGGCATATTTTTATTTAGATTAATTCAGTAAGTGCTAATTAAAGTTTTTGAAAGGGAACTGTTTACAATGTGATAGATTTTTTGGTAAATAGTCATAGTAGTCATTGATTTCACTTAGGTACACCACAGCCAGCACAATGCTGAAGACAGTGCTGACCCACAGCTGAGACCCAGGCTCAGTCTCTTGGGTTAAAATCCTGTAACCCCAACTTCCAAAATCAGACTCAAGTATGTAAGTATTCTCTGTAGGAATGTAATTAACTTTTAAATTGGCCTTCCTTATGAATGAGAACTGTATTAATAGCTTCTTCTTAAAACCAATCAAAACATGACTTGCTCACGCACATACCTGTTTTATACTGTGTGCAATGAACCACACCATGAAGATTCTTGAACTCACTTGGACCCCAGTCACAAGCACAGACGTGCGAACTATTCCTTAAAAAGAGAAACATGTTATCTCTGCTCCAAAATTCACATTTTAAGTAGTTCCAAGAAAAACTAAACAAAGAACTCACCAACTGCACAGTGGACTACCTGTAAACAAAAATAAGTTAGAGGTTACTGATGTACAGTATGTCACTATCTACACTATAAACATGGTCTTTTGATGTTAATATAAACCTAGGTTTAATGCTGAAGAACTCTTTTTTATTGTTTTCAACTAGCAATCTTTAAAAGAAATACACATCAGAGCCCTGGCAACCGGTGCTGTGATGGGCTCAGTATTTGTGCACAAACACATAAAAGAGATTTATTTTCCTAATTAGCTGTATATATTACATATTTTAATACTTACAAAGCATTTACTTTTTGAACTAGTAAGCTTCCCTTCCATTATCTTACTCAAAGAATAATTTTACAGGACAGTGTGGAGGGAGTCACATAAGGGATGCTGAAAGCATAGCAATTTTAAAATGTTCTGTATTCATTACAGATTAATAATGTTATTATAATTTTGCCAATGGCAGCAATGAAATTTCGAATTTATTTTATTTTCTTTGTATTGTATTGTATCTTTATTGTATTGTCAGTAATGATTAGCAAGTAGAGTGCTTTTCATTATTTTGACATATTTGAGTAGAATTACTTGCTGTGAAAGTTTAATAGTGTAACAGTCTATATAGAGCTGGCCACATGATTTTAATAATTGGTTGAACTATTATGCTTGAACACAGTACATGTTGTAGACAGACTGAGGAAAAAAAAGTTAAAACACAGATAGGCACTCTTTGTTGTGCCCGGGAAAGAACTGTAAGTGCTCAACACACCCAACAGTTTCATTCACAGACGTACCATAAACTGAGACCACCAGAGCATTGTTAGCAAAAGTCATATTATTTAAAGAATACTTTGCACAACTGCACAGATCCTGTTGGAATGGATTATATGTGATCAAGTCTGGAGACAAGCAGAAGCAGGAAAGGCACACAAGGATAATGAGTCCAGTATAAGGAATGGAGGTGGACACGAGCTATCTACTACACTAGAAGGTTGATCTGCTGACTGGAATGCCTTCAGAGATTTTGCCTTTTGAGTTAAAGACTCTCAAACCAAAGCAGTTCCCAGGCAGTATTTGTTTTAAAGAAATATTATCATTCAATTTGAAAAAATGTGCCCGTTCGTTTCAATTTACCTTGCCCCCCCAAAAAAAAACCTTCATTAAATAATAAATTTAAACAGACTTTAAGTACTAATATAATATTTTTATATTAAATCCAGGTTAAAAATGTGTTTTGCTTATGATATGCAGTATCCAGTAAAGCAAACTTATGTTTAAGATTTACCTCAAGCAAAGCAAATGTCTGGAAAAATTTAAGTGTCTTTTGAACACTTCTGAATAAGCCTCTATGTGTTCCTTTCTGTATATAAAACCGCACCATGGCAATACCTAATACCAGCCACCTACAAAAGAAAGAGAATGGATACATTTCAAATTAGAATTCTAAAAATATCCATCCAGCATAAATAATATAGTAGAATATTTTCTTCACATAATCTTTGGTTCTTCACTTGTCAGCATTCTTAGAAGTTCATTAAAAATATCTTTAGATATAAATATTATATACTGTTATGTAAACATTACACTCATCTCTTTAACTGGAGAAGGACAGAGAATCAGAGGATTAACTTGAAATGATGATGACAACCCCCCAAAAACCATGGGTCCATCAAAGTTTTCACTAGCAGTGACTACATATTTTTACTATTAAATCCTCATTCATTTCTACTGTAAATTAGTTATCAGAAAATACGCCACAAACACGACACTGAATCTACTGTTACGGGTCATAGGTAAAATACAGGAAAAGGACTGGAACCTACGCACATCATTTTAACATTTTTCATGACACCCCAACTCACAATTGTCAGAATTACTAGTGATCTGAATACTTCTGAATACATTTGATGGTGCTTGCAAATTATTTTTTTTTTTGGAAGAAAACTCATCAATGACACCAACTGGTAACCTTTCCAATGTGAAAGAAAGAAAGTAACAGTATTTTTTGATCAATCTGGAATTTAGTAGAAAACTTACATTGAAATCTCAGATAAAAACTGAGACCAAAAAAACCCCAGCCTTCTAAACTGTGGTGAGTTGATCCCCACCACCCAGCCCAGACAGACCCAGAACAATAACCTAAGGCATACGCAATTCCTTCCACATAATTAACTCATGATCATATAATTAAGATTTTCAAAATGGCACACTATATATTCCATCCTCAATGCAAAGCTATAGCACATGCTTACAAACATCATGCTAGCTAGATGCCTTGAAATTTCAGATTTTGATGCACACAAAGTACAAAAAATTCTTAAATATAGAGTTACAGGCATATCCACAGCTATGGATGGCTATTTTAAGAGTTAAAGATATAAAAATTACAATAACTGTATCCTAACTTCTTGTCTGATGACAATTAGGAGCAATTACTCATTGCTTTCACTGTACACGAAGCTATACCAAGGATGCTGAGAAATACTCAGAGACAGATTGAGAGAGTACATAAATGTTCAGATAAATGTTTATATAAACATTCGGATAAATACTTAACACATCTCCTGTTCTTATACCCTTCTCTAATCATAAGGTATTAAGCTAGTATCAGAAACAGGGCACAAGGAAATACTGATCTTCAGTCAGACCTGCTATGCTGTAACGGCATGAGAGTCGCATGGATCGTGATAGCCTTCTGTTCACCTCGGATGGCATGTGCTTCAGTATCAGCCCCTTAATGCTTACGCATGGTGGCCTCTGCTAGGCTGTCATTTGGCAGGGTCCATTCTAGCACTTCATGACAGCATTTCAAACTCAGATAGAGTTAAGTCAGGCTTCCCCACATGGAAGGAACCATTCCTCTCCTTGATCCTTTCTACTATAAGCCCATGAATCTGATCTGTCTGAGCTCCAAAATTTGCCCCCACAAGTGTTACCAAGGTTTTATAACAGATTTTAAATCTGAGTGCATTAATATGAGTTTGCAACCCACCACTGTAGAAACAAGGAATTATTGGAATACCAGTGTTAGTCCGTCACAGTAAAGCTGCCATGTTTTCTAGTGAAGTGTTTGACAAGAGGAAGGTGACAGTGAGTTTACATGCAGCTGGCAGTATGAATGGTGACAGCAACAGCTCTTGTCCCAGCCGTAGCCCAGGAAGTCATAATACATCTAACCTAACAAGGCATTTTCTGCATCTCATTCTGTAGCAAAAGGGTGGCAAACAGAAGTAATCTTGGACTACACTCAGAAGCTAAGACTGCAAATACATTTTTCTTACGTATTTATTTGGACATGGATTTCTGTAAATTTATTTATTTATTTGCTAGTGTCTTTGACTTTGGGTCTCGGGAAAGCTCTTGTACTCAGTATTGCACATCACTGGGAAATCGCAAACACTTTCCATAATGAACGTAGCATTTCTGTTTGGGACTTTCAGTAAGATTGGGTACTGATCTGTCACAGGGTACTGATCTGTCCTTCTCGCCCCCTAAACCTTTGTTAGAAAGAAAGATAAGCCACATTTTTTATTAGAGTCATTGTTAACATGCAATTGTATATTAGTTTGTTACAATTCTAGAAACACTTTGCTGCATTACACTCTCTGGACAAACACTGTGCTTGTTACTTATTTATCCCATGCAGTGCCCCTGCCAAATATTGCTCTATTTCAGATGTTTATTTTTCAGCTAAACTGTATCCATAAAAGATGCTAAGAATTTGTTTTGATCTCTTATTTCTTTTTCCACATAAAATATGCAATTGTGCATGTCTTAATCCCTTTTGATATTACTAGAAGATGGGAGAGATGAAGTGGGAGATTCTGAACCAGCACCTAAGGTCAAAACAAATATGGTTCGATAATCTTCTACAGACACAAAAGTCAGTGGCAAGAGTCAGCGTTAATTAACAAATTCACACATGGAACACGAGGCTGGGAATTCAATGAGGTAACATTAACCTGCCAGCTAGAAAAAGAATAATTAACATTGGGTAAAAGCACTTTTCAAGTCAGGCGCAGTGTACGAATGGACTTGAGTACATGCTCAAGACTCACAGATGCTAGTGAGCAGATTACGATTGTATTCCTGGCTTTCTGCACTGATGCTTGACCTGCTTTAACTGCCGCATATCAGTTTTGCTCAATGGGATTCAAAGGGCAGAGTTCACCCACTGGTAACTAAGGTAAAACTGTTCTTGTGATGAATGTCACCCTACAAGTTATAAAACTGTTTGTTCTTAGTTTTCTTTTATGCGTGCGGAAACAGGAGCTTGGGTTGGTTTTTCCCCCTCAAGAGATCGTGACCCGGACAAATTTGCAAGTGAAAATACGTGCTTCAAGCACAAACAGCATAAACCTGAGTGCTCTTACCAGTCCGTACGCACTTTCCCCACAGCAGAGCACGGCTGCAAGGAGCACAGGCTAAGGCGAGCCCCGGGGCTGTACAGCTCTCCTCACTGCCCATCCCTGCGTGCCCGGCGGCGGAACATCTTCGCCGCAGGGAGCCGGACCGGACTCTGCTCTCCCTGACCCAGGGCTCACGGACCTGAAGGAGTGGCCCCGCACGGCAGTCCGGGGCGTGAGCTCACACTCGGATCAGCCCACCCGGATCAGCCCGACAGAGCCCCAGCGCCCGTCCGCGCCCGGACCCTCCAGGACACCGAGGGGCACTCTGGCGTCCCCGCTCCCGGCGAAGCGCGGGGGCCGGCCCGGAAGCGGGCGGCGGTGCCGTGGGACGCGGCCCGCGCGGCTCCCCCGCCCGGCATTCCAGTCCCGGCTATACTTAACCTCTGCGGCGGGCTCGGGGTGACGCGCTGGCGGCTGGCAGCGCTGCACCGTATTAGGCAATGCCCGACAGGCGAGGGCTAGCCCCGCTCCCCGCAGCTCCCCCTCACCCCCGGCCCGGCTGACCCCGCCGGAGCTGCCCGGGACCCCGCCTCGCCTCATCCGCCCCGCACCCGGCTCCCGCCGCCTCGAGCTGCCACTGAGGCGCCGCGCTGCCGGCCCCCGGCGTGCTCGCTGCCGCTTACCCCGCGGTCATGGCGACGTTGTAGAAGATGAGCCAGGCCGTGGCCAGAGCTCCCAGCCTCCTCCTCTTGCCGCTCTCCTTCTCCTCCACCGCGCCGTTGCCGCCTCCGTCCTCCTCGCTGGACGCCATGGTCTCGCCGTCCCGGCAGCAAGGTGCACACCCGCGGGGAGGAGGGGCTCCCTCCGCGGCGGGGCTGAGGCCGCGCTGACAGCCAGACTTCGCGCTGTCCCTCACCCCATCTGTCTTCCTCGGGGGCCGCTGCCTGCAGCCAGCCGCTCACATGGCGCAGCGCTCCTCCCTCCTCCTCCCCGCAGGGGCTCCCCGGTGGGCAGGGCCCTGGCCGCGGCCCTCGCACGCGATCCCCAGGAGTCACGGCGCCGTTGATGCATTGAAGAAGCCCCTTGTGGGTTGGTGCCGCGCCTCCTGCCTTGCTGGTGACCAACAGATAAACGCGGCAGGCGTAGCCCACGGTCAGGAAAGACACAGAAAATAGCGCAGCTCTTGGAAATACAGACGTGTGTCTGAGGTTGAACATATGGCAGTATGGCTGGAGACCGACTGGTAGGAATATGCCCAAGCCCCCATCTGGAGGGGCAGAGGGCCCAGAGTTACCTGCCAGGGTGACCTCGGGGACAGGACACCTTCCAGTCTGTTAGATCCCCTAAAATAACACGATCAGTTAACACAGAGGACTAAGGCCCACCCTGAGATGGGGGGAAATGTCATCCTAGGTCCCAAAGAGATCCCAGCTGGCAGACTGAAGGATGACACTTGAATATGCAGGTTGTCTCTTAAGCCTGCTGCCCGTGCACATGCACAGGGAGCATTACTGGGACCGGCTATGGAAGGATTGGCAGCCTAAGCCTGAGCTACAGTCTTGGGATGTGGCTCTTCAAAGGTGCAGGCTGCACCCACCATCCTGACATCTGGCTCTGACTGCGGTAGCCTTGGGATGCTGTTTGCTACTTTGGGCAGCATACATGTATCCTCAGGCTCCCCATTTCCACAGCTAAGCATGGTGACCATGACCAATCAGCCCAAACACCTCAAACACCAACATATACAAATAGATGAATTCCAAAAAAGGGTCAGGATGTATCTTTGAAGTGCTACTTTTTCAGTCCTAAAAGATTTCAAGAGTCAAAATCTACCTACTTTAGAGTGGGGTAGTTCATCTTGGTGTTAAAAACACCTAGATGGTCTCGGTTCATGGGCAAAGGTAAAAGATAGTAGATGTGCCATACAAAAACTTGGTCTCTCTCCCTCTCCTCACCAGAGCACACAAGCAGATGTTCAGCTGTCATCCTCAAAATACACACCCACTGGCAACAGCAAAATGAGTAGTTGGCAAAACAGCACCATGTATATGTTAGTAAGATTATATGAAGTACCAATATTATATATACACAGATGCTTTTCATGTTCAAGTAGTCTTAAACATAACCTAGTTTGGGAATCATATAGTTAGAAAATCCAAACAAAAAAATTTACACACAAGATTGAATGACCTAATTCAGAAGTTTTGCCAACCTTGGGTTTCAGAGGAAAGTGCAAGAAACTATGTAGTGAGCAAATATGGGATAATCTGAGCCTGAATTTCATCTCAACATAACAGTTGTAAAATGGTTGAAACTCTGTAGCTTTCAAAATATTTTCTATATTTACTATTCTGATGCTGGGCATTTCTGCTATCTTAACACCTTTTTCCCACTTGAATTTCACTTTGCAAACCTTTCTGGCTTCTTGGCTTTGCCAACGCAGTGTTTGTTGAAATGGGTATCAGAAATAAACCATCTAGTATGTGTAAAGTGTTTTTTGTCTCATTTGAATTTGCCAACTTATGACAACTGATGAAGACTTCCTAATTTTAGATCATGATGCATTGAGGAAGGCATGACCTGATCCTGGTTCTTAGTATTAGTTGTGATTTTTTTTTTAATACTTTTAGATATCCTTTACATTTATCTCTTGGGATTCTTCAAAAGCAGATTTGTGGAAACAAATCCTTTTTCCTTTCTGATTGTCCATTTTTAAATCCCTCCTTGGATGTTTTCCATGTTTTTGCACAGAATCTTTTGAAGTTTGATATATTCTCATTAGGATTCTGTATTACTTTCCTTCCCACTATTTATTTGCTCAAACTTTCTGATTTTGGATGCACAAATTATCTGTAATGATGATTTGTCTTCAACTGATTCAGTCAATTAAGAACTTATTAGTGAGGATAAGTATCTCAATGGCTTTGCTTAAACATTGTTTTTATGTGAGAGCATGCAATTTCTATTGCTATCACAATACCCATTCACCCAATTGATGAGAAATCTCTAAATATCCTCATAATCCCTTTTGGATTCAAATAAACTAAACTAAACTAAACTAAACTAAACTAAACTAAACATTTTGGTTCCAGTTTTGCCATCCCACACTTGTCTGTATTTCCCAACCACTTACGAATGTATTAAGTACAAAGCTTATTACAGAACCTTCATACACACCCAACTGCTTTCTTTTTGCCATAATAAAGAAAACTTCCTCTTAGCTTCTGTTTCCCATGTTTTGATCCATGGGAATATTTTGTTCCTTAATCCACAACTAATTCATACCCTTGGTCGTGCCTGTGTGATCATATTTCATCAGCTTTTCCAAAATGCGTTTGTTCTGTAGATAATTTTGTTTTAATCTATTTTTGTAGTTACATGTTCCAGGAATTGCAATGTATCGGTTGAAATGTAATTTCCTTTTTATAAGTTTTCTGTTGCTATTCTCTTAATCATTTACCATTTATACATCTGTGATTTACTAATCTGTATTTTCTGAATCACGATAAGATTTTTATTTAGATTTGATAAAATGTCAGCTATTTCCAAAGCACTAAGTACAGTATCTGTGATTAATTAGACATACTGTGCTTCTGTAGTGGCAAAATCAGTTCAGCTGATATTTCAGCTTTGGCTAGCACCTTATGATTCATTGGACAGATTTTGTCTACATATAGAATTGTAATCAATGGAACTAAATAGGCCTATACATTTACTGCGTTACCTAAATCATCTTTTTAAAATCAGTTGAATGGCTCATCAATTTAGCTCAACTTTGCTGTTACTTAAGTACAGTCTGAAACCAACCTTCCCAATAAATTCTAAGGCAGTCAGATCAAGGTCTTTTATATTGTAGGTGAGCACATCATTTTGTTTCATATTCATTCTCAACTTTCACAGGCAGTTCTCCTTTATTCACTCTAATTCCAAACCATCAACACTGCTATACTGTTATTGCAGAAAGAAGCTGTTTTCCTGGCCTGCTTCATGATTGATATTATCAACGTATCTTTATCTTCTAGGTGCCCATTGCACAAGTAGCTATTCAATACCTTTGAAATCTGAATGTGGTTTATTTCCAATCTAATTCCAGAAATACAAGGTGAAGCTTTTAGGAGAATTATGTTCTCACGCAGTGTTCTATAATGATTTTTGTTGTTGTTAGAAAATGTACCTATCCAATATGGGAGCATTTCTATGAAATGAAAAGTTGTAGTGTGCTGAAAATTATATACTGACCTATCAGCTCCACTATCCCAGGGGAAGGCTATGAAATACTGCAAGAATTACTTACTATGAGCCCTGCAGAATAGTGAGATTGCCTTTATACTTCAGAACAGTTAAATGACAAATAATGACTTAAAATCCTGAGGAAGGTAAATGTGTAAAAAAATTAATGACTTGAATTTTTGCTTGTTCTTCTGCCATGTCTTCACTTAATGTTCCCAACACGTTTTGCAAGAACGAAGTATTTAATGTTCCCAACAAGCTTTGCAAGAACAAAGTATTTAGACAACAGACTTATATATAGTAGTTGCACACTATTTTAGGTTTATGGTATGTAGTAATCAGTGAAGTATTCAAGGATAAATGCAAGTAAACAGAATTTAGTGTGTCTAAATTGAACAACACATTGTTTACACACTTTTGTGCATTCATTCAGGCGTGGTTATCTATTATTTTATTTACTATAGGAACAGGGCAGAAAATGCATTCAAAAGCATGGTATAGAGTGGGTTGAATAAATCTTGTGGGAAGAACTAGAATATGTCTCTGTGTCTGGCACATCTGAAGCAGCTGGAGTTTTGCACTACCACTACAAGACAAATGATTCATATTAAGCCCCTGACTGTATAGTTCAGTCATCAGCGATGCAAAACAAGCACCATGAACACAGGCTGAAGTTGAAGTTTATATTCCTGTTGTAAAAATACAGAAAGTCTGGTGTGAATATTTAGAAATCTTTGTATGAGAACTACTGATTCTATATATCTGAAAAGTACTGGTATATATATTTTATGTTCTGAGAAGCACCAGTTTGGGACGCTCTTATGTATTGTTCTATTTAAGCCTCTTCAGAAGCAGAACTAGAACTCAAACTAAAATGATGAAGGACATGCACATGTTAAAGGGAGATGACTGTATTACCTACCTGGTTTGGTTTACCCAAACTCAACATGCTTTTTGCTATAATAGACTAATTTGACTCTGTACAATAATTATTTTATTTATAGGATATTTTCCACTATAGCACAGTTTAAGCAACCTAATATTATGTTACATTTGCTACCTTGGATAGATTTATGTATAGACCAGTCCCACAGACTGTCATCTGTGCAGCCAGCACCTTTGCACACTGAGCAGACTGGCCGTATCAGGAAGCTAACTCCACTCTCATGTTCTAATTCTACAGATACATATGCAAAAAGCTCAAAACTTAAAATTAATACCATTAGCTTAAATGGTACTGTTCATGCGAAGAAAATTAAGTACCCATTAAAATAAAATGCTAGCATAAGATATTCTTAAACCCCCTTCCCAATATTATGTAATAAATGTCATATTTTCTGTAAATAAAAATTTGCAACCTTGCCAATAGATATCAGGTATATTTTTCACAGGGTTTCACAAAACACACTTCAATAATACTAAAAATATCTTCTGATTTTCAGTATATTTCAGTGCTAGCTTGTTTCTATGAGCACTACAATCACTGTGGAAGAGACTGTTTCCATTATTAGTTTCAGAGCATACACAATCTTTGCTTGTTATTTAGTCTCATTTCAAGGACTCGAGTTAAGAAGGACTCTTTATCAAGGGAGTAGTGTTCCAATCTAACTCCCAGTAAGGTCAGTGGAAGTATTTCTATTTTCCTTCTTAGAAAAGTGGTGGAGAGTGAAAAGATAAATTTTAACCTCATCATTGATTGAAAACTGGTCTGAGTTACCAGCAAGAAAAAGTGACCATATTGGGTGCAGTCAGTTTGGCTGTGTTGAGAACAGGTGTTCATGCCAAAAAAAGCACTAGGATAAGTGGTTCCCCATGGCAGCGT